CAGCAAGAGACGCGGAGTCACCCTTCAAAAAAAAAAAAGGGGGGGGTGGCAAATAAGGTGGTTGGATTTTAAAAGAAGCAAAATAATAATAATAATAATAAAATATAAAAAAAGAGAGGAGAGGGGGAAAAATCTGAATTATTTGGGATTGGGAGGAAGGAGGAATAGCAGGATTTCCCTTCCCTTAAAAATAAAAGGAGGGGTGTAATGATGATGAATCCTTCCTCCTAACCGGCTGCGCGCACCCCGATCCCCTCCGCCAAAAGGGGATTTAAAGCGCGCACCTTTTTCTCCTCCCCTCCCCCCCTTTTGTTCTCTGAATGGGGCCCCGGGCAGGCGGTGGGACGGGATATGCAAAACAGCCGCCCAGCGCGCCACGCCATTGGTTGTGCGGAGCTCCGCCTTTCGCTCTCTAAGAGGCACAGAATAAATGGTGACGGAGCGGCAGAGCAAGAGAGGTTCCATGGTGTAATGGTTAGCACTCTGGACTCTGAATCCAGCGATCCGAGTTCAAATCTCGGTGGAACCTTCCCTTTTTTTCCCCTCCCTAATTTGTTTTTAAAAAATCACTATCCTGCATTCTTGTGACATAAGGAATATATATCAAATCTCGGTGGAACCTTCCCTTTTTTTTTCCCCCTCCCTAATTTGTTTACAAAAATCACTATCCTGCATTGTTGTGACATAAGAAAAAAATATATATAATGGTTTAGGACGTCAGAAAAGAAAGTTAAGGCAACCTCACATCCTGTTTCCCGGAAACAGCTTCCTTACCCAGATTTAATGGGGTTGCATGGCTATTTGAACATATGTAATGTTCTGGATGCATTCAATTGATTTTGTTTAAAAGGCACCAGCAGTTTCCAAATACGATTTTCCTCCTTGCAATTTCACGCAATAGCTTTTCTGAGATAAGTACTGTAGATAGATAGATAGATAGATAGATAGATAGATAGATAGATAGATAGATAGATAGATAGATAGATAGATAGATAAAAACCTGTAGAGTTCAAAGTGTTACCATCCATGTGCTATAAAGGTTGTGATGCCTGGGTGAGTCACATTCAATGGGTGGGAGACCAATTCTTCCCTTGCTTACACTTATGAAAGCTGATCTAAATTGCAGAATTACCTGGCAACCCAAAATAATCTTGATTCAGCTCATTTCCCCCACCCCCATCCCCCACGGGCCACTGAATCAGTGGAGATTTGATCCCCCAACTCCTCTGCAAATTCCATTGATTTCGGTGGGCCTACTCTAGTTGTGCCTTAATATATGGTAAGCAACAGGATTGTGGCTTTTGAAAAGAAACTTTTATTTCAGTTCAAAGTTCTGACTCGCTTTCCATTTTTAACACCCTGGCCAGGGTTTGGAAGGAACCCTATAAAGATTAAATCCCTCTTGTTCTGGTTTAAATAAATATTAGGCTGCCGGTATTTATTGCTGTTATTAATTAACCATTAAATTAGCCCTTCCTCAAAACATTCCTTGTTTCCATTGTTAGGAAAGTAAAAAATGGCCATAGCAAGGATTAGGTTTACTGCTCTGAGCACCTTGGAGTAAAAAAAAAAAAAAAGGGACATCATGTAGGTAATCAATCATTAAAGAAGTGATGGAAAACTAATAGCTTACTCAGAAGCTGAGTGTGAGGTCAGAATCTTTTCAGGTAGTGTTTTTAAAAAGAAAGAAAATAGAATGGGGATAATATTTTTTTTAAAAAAATTCTGTAGGCCACCCAAAAGAATGAACAAATGAACGAACAAACAAACGAATACTAGGATATTCCTAGATCAGAGTCAAAGACATCAGTTTGATGGCTGACTCTCTTTATTCAACTTTTTGATAACTTCTTTTAAAATTAAACATTTAAAGTGTAAAGTTCCTTATGAATAAAACACAGAAGCAGCAGCAATAATAAAGCTTAATGCAATAAGCTGTTATTGCTTTTGTTCCAGGCAAAGAAGAGGAACGATTTGTACCAGCGATGCGTGACGTCGTGTGGCTGTTGGACCGCATTTCCCAGCATCCCTTTCTATGAGTAATGCTGGCTAGGTCTGATGGGCATTGCAGTCCACCAACATCTGGAGGGCCCCCACTTTGCACCCCGGCTATTGTTGTGTGCCATCAAGACATGTCTGACCCTACAAATCAGTTCCCTCCAAAAGGCCTTCTCATCCACTGCCCAGCTGGAGTCTTGCAAACTGCAGTCTGTGGCTTCCTTTATTGAGTCAGTCTATCTTATATCTGGCTGTCCTCTTTCCCCCCTGCCTTCCAACTTTTCCCAGCACCCTCTGTTTACAGTAAAAAAAATTTCTTTCGGCCGCTTCGGCTTTCCGAAAGCCTGGCACATGGCAGACAATTGCCTTAAACACTTACCGTATTTTTCTGTGTATAAGACTATACTTTTGTCTGAAATCTTTAGACTAAAAATTGAAGGTCATCTTATACACAGAAGTAAGCTGAGGAGAGAACAAAAACAAGTGGAGGGGAAAGCAGGGATCAAAGCGATCCTGCAGGGCTTTGATTCCTGCTTTCCCCTCCACTTGCTAAGCCCCACTTAGACTTCTTAATTTTGGGTTAGAAAAGTGGGGGGGTGTCTTATACATGGGGGCGTCTTATACACGGGAAAAATACGGGTAATTCC